TCTACTTTCTGGGGTCTATATTTGAATGACTAGGGGCATGGTCAAAGCCCTTAAAGGCTTTCCTCTGAGGTGGGAAGACAGTAGGCTCTGCCACTCTGCAGCAGGCTGGGAACAGGGCTTGGCGGTAAACTGGAGAGAGCCACTGGTGAGACTGTCCTATCCTAAGGACTGTCTTCCCTGTCCTATGTCTGAGCCTTAGGTAAAGTGGATTGGATGTGGCAATCTGGTGTCAGCTACACAGTGGCTATTATGACATTTGTGGGTTTGTCCTTAGGCCATAGATGTAGAAAGGCCCCAGTGTCCTCTGCCTGAAGTCAAGATGGTTGTGACAGCAAACATACCAAGCAGTCAGTAACCAAGGGCTACATTTGGTCCCCTCAATTACAAATTTCTGAGAAATCAGAGAGATAGTAGAATGGTAGATTTCACAACCTCAATAAATGTTGAATGACAAAAAAATTGTCAAGAAGGAAAGACAGTACTTCTAGGAACAGGTAAATCAGTATTAGTCGGCCTTGGAACATACTGGAATGACCCCCTCCTGGGCATGGCCTGTTTGGATGTATTACTTCCTGAAGCACTTCCTGTCACTAACTGCCTGGGTCCCCTCACTGGGCTTCAGCTACCTTAGGGACATTCTAGTACCCTCCATGGCCCAGAATGCTGCTTTGCTGATTCCTAGCACTGTCTTTCCATTTTGACAATGTAATGCAGGTGTTCTGAAGGGACTCAACTTTAGTCTTGAGGTACCAGCCAAGCCACTAAAGCTGAGACTCAGGCATATGGGTCAAAGGCCAAACCCAGCTCATACAATGGGGAACAGAAAGCAGTGATTTGAGACTTTAGCCTCAGATTGCTGGGCCGGTTCTGGTTTGAAGAATGACATCTAGAAACAAGAGCTTTGCAAAGTGGGCTGAGAACCAGGCAGAGTTCTACGTGAGCCTAACAATGTGTTCTGAAACCTCATAACTCACTATGACAGCCAGGTTTTTTTTTTTGTTTTTTGGTCTTTTTGAGACAGGGTTTCCCTGTAGCCCCAGCTGTCCTGAACTCAACTATGTAGACCAGGCTGGTCTTGAACTCACAGAGATCCGCCTGCTTCTGCCTCCCAAGTGCTGGGATTAAAGGTATGCACCACCACGCCCAGTGACAGCCAGGTTTTTTAAAAAATATTTTATTAGTTTTATGTGTATGAGTGTATGGCCTGCATGTATGTAAGTGCACCTTGTTACGCAATGCCCACGGAGGTTAAAAGAGGGCATCGGATCCCCTAGAACTGGAGTTTCTATGGGTGTTAGCTGTCATGTGGATGCTGGGAACTGAACCCGAGTCCTCTGCAAGAGCAGTTAGTGCTCTTAACCACTGAGTCATCTCTCCAGCCCCATGACAGCCAGTTTTGTCAATCTGACACAACCTAGAATCACTTGGGAAGAGGGACTGCTGCCTAGATCAGGCTGGCCTGTGGACATACGGGGGAGGGTATGGGGTTTGTTTTGATTACCTTAATTGATGTAGGAAGACCCAGCCTAAAAGGGGGATGCATCATCCCCTGACCTTGGGTCTTGAATTGTGTAAAAACAGAAAAAGCCATCTGAGTACAAAGCATGCAAGCATCAGTTTCTGTTCTTAATTGTGGATGTGATATGACTAGTTGCTTGAAGTTTCCTGTCCCCTTGACTTCCCCAAAATAATTGACTGTAATCTGAACTGTGAGCTAAAATAAACCCCTTCTCCCCTGAGGTGCTTTTTGTGGGGGTGGTTTTGCTTTGCTTCTGTTTTATATTTTTGAGACAGGGTCTCACTGTCTGTGCAGACCAGGCTGGCCTCGAACTCACAGAGATCTGCCTGCCTCTGCCTCCTAAGTTCTGGGATTAAAGGCATGTGCTACCACACCCAGCCCTTTGTTAGGGTGTTTTATCACAGCTATAAAAATGAAACTAGATGCTTTTCAAGAAACTAAAAAGCAGAGCTGGACGTGGTGGTGCATGCCTTTAGTCCCAAGTGGATCTCTGTCAGTTCAAGGCCAGCCTGGTCTACATAATGAGTTCTAGGCCTGCTGGGGCTACAGGGAGACCTGGTCTCAGTTAACATGAAAAAATAATGGGAAAATGTTCATCGTAAGACACAGTGTCAATTCCAATTAAGCAACTCTGACAAACTGGCTCAAATCTTCTCTCTGGCCTGAAATGTGGTTACTAAAATAGAGACTGCTTTTACATAAAAGAACAAATGTCACAGTCGACTTTCATGTCATCCACCAAAAAGATTTGAAGGGGCTGAGGATGTAGCTCAGTTGGTAGAGTGCTTGTCAAGGAAGCACTGAGTTCAAACTCAAACACCACCTAAATCGGGTGTGGCAGCCACCCCTGCAACCCCAGCGCTGGGGAGGTGGACACAGGAAGGTACAACATTCGGTCACTCCTGGACACACATTGAGTTTGAAGCCAGTCTGGACTATGTGAGACTGTTTCAAAAACCTAAAGAAATTTTTTAAAAGAAAGAAAATCACAATTAAGAAACCCATTGAAGTGGTTAGCCCAAAATAGATTATTTCCTATTAGTTGTTTATATAATAATGGACAGCTGAAGAATCACTAAGGTAACTTTATTAGTATGGGCATTTACAAACATTAAGTGAACTGTGTGAAAATTAATAGTTTACTGAAGTCTCCTGGTAACTTCACCTTCTCACATCCAGTACTGAACATAATTTCATTTATGTTTATTGCAACACAATTAGACCTCTTACATCTAACTCCCATCTTTTTTTTGTTTTGCTTTGTTTTTTTGTTTGTTTGTTTGTTTTGAGACAGGGTCTCCCTGTAGCCCCAACTAGTTCTGGAACTATGTAGATCATGCTGGCCTCAAACTCACAGAGATCAGCCCGCCTCTGCCTCCCCAGTGCTGGGATTAAAGGTGTGCGCCACCACGCTCTACCTAACTCCCTTTTTAACAAGCATGGCGAAGTTAGTTTTCTGAAATGTTCTGGAACTACTGCTTTCATCATCATGATGTTTCACAATTTCATTTACAGTAATACAGTACAATCAAGCCAGAAGCCAAACAACTCATTCAATTTTTAAAAATCAATTATTATGCCAGCCCGTACCCCATGAAGCAGAAAGGCTCCCAACTTTCTTTTGAGGATGTAGATTTGTTGTTTTGATCATCACACACTCCATATATGACCTGTTGGCCACATACCAGGGTTAGGAACCATGCTCCCGAGTCCCATCTCAATCCAGCACTTGGGAATGGATCAGCTCCTTTCGATCCGCCTCTGCTTCCTTCTAGGTACCTAATTCTGTACCAAAAGCAATTATCCGAACTTAAAACCACTGGATTTTCTGAAAGCAGTCAGGAAAAAACAATCTCCTGAATTTCCACCTCTTGTCACTTGCCAAACATGAGAAAACAAATTCAGGTATCTCGTCTTAAATTATCAAAGGGTCCCCCAAATTGGAAACTGGGTCCCTAAAAGACTAGGTTAGGATTTCTGTGTTTCTAGGGAGTCTGGTTTAGGACACAGGAAACTTAAATTTACGGAAACCTAACATTTCAACTTGTGATCAAAGAAGAAACTAGAAGCAAAATCTTTCCTTTGCATTGAGCTTAAGGATTTTTGCCCCCTCCGAAAAGTTAAAAAACTATATTCAAACTCTTTAAAACCTGGCATTGAAATCTATTTTTAGAACTTCTAAATCAACTAGCATGTCTGACTGACTTCGACAGTCAATGGATTATGACATTAGATAGGCAGAAAGGCAACCTACGAGTCTGGTGTTTTCTTTTTAAGTGCCCACAGAGGCCTATTATAAGTACAATAGCTCCATTAGGCTAATTCAAGTTTCTTTCACTGAGTAGATGATCCAAAAGCCTTGGAACAGTTCAGGGTTTTAAATATTTTTAAAATTATTATTTTATGTGTAAGAGTGTATGTACTTACATGTATGTACTACATGGAAGTGCACCGTGTAGTGCAATGCCCTTGGAGGTCAGAAGGCAGCATCGAATCTCCTGGACTGGAGTTACAGATGGTTGTTAGCCACTATGTAGGTGTGGGGAACCAAACCTGGGTCCTCTGCAAGAGCAGCCAGTGCTCTTGACCGCTGAGCCATCTCTCTAATTTGGGGTTTTAATAAAATCAGGAATAAACATGCATCAAACTTTCCAAAACCACCTATCATTTGGAGTATTTTTTGTTTTGTTTTGTTTTTTGGTCTTTTGAGACAGAGTCTCCTGGTAGCCTCTGCTGGTTGGGAACTCACTATTGTAGACCAGGCTGGCCTTGATCTCACAGAGAGCTACCTGCCTGTGCCTCCCATGTGCTTGGACTAAAGACATGCACCACCGTGTCTGCCCATTTGGAGATTTTTAGCTGGTTAAATTTCAATCTATTTCTTCAGTTTTGTGTTTTGATAATACTTATTTTGGTTTTGTTGTTTAAATATCCTTGCTTGAAAATGGCAAAGAGTTAACTTAGGTAACCCAAGTTACTAAGACTTCTAAAGTGCCTTCTGTTTCTTGAACCTGAGTCTCAATTCTGGACATCGCCTGAGACTGACGAACTCTCTCATGGATGAAACTGTTTCCTTTAAGCTTTTTCCTGCTTGGTACATCTTCACAGCAACACTGACTGAAAATTTCTCTGACTCAGGTTTCTTAAAGTTTTCTCACGGATCACTGGGGATGTGATTAGTTTTGAGAAAAGTACAGAGGCACACACTTCTCAAACTCTTGTGGCACAGCAATAAATCTGAGGTTCTAGCTGGGCATGGTGGCGCACACCTTTAATCCCAGCACTTGGGAGGCAGAGGCAGGCGGATCTTTGTGAGTTTGAGGCCAGCCTGGTCTACATAGTGAGTTCCAGGACAGATGGGGCTACAGGAAGACCCTGTCTCAAAAGAGACAAAAAATAATAATAATAATAAATCTGAGGTTCTGTTTGATGTCAGAGCAACTGAAAGCTAATTGGAGCAGTAAACAATAGGGCACACCAATGTGGTCATAGTTTAATAAATTTCCACAGTTTTGACCAGTTTAAAAAACCTGCTTTGACTACCTGTGTTTTCTCTTCTCTCTGATTAACATCAGTTGGGTTTTTATCTGTGACTTCTTTTGCTTCTATAAAGGTTTCGTATAGTTTCTGGACTCTGATCACTTCTTTCTGTGCATCAAAATGGACCTTCTGTCTCGTCAGGATAGGAACAATCAAGTTAAAATCACTAATTCGCTTGTTTAGCTTTCTAATGTTTTCTTGAAACTGCTCACAAACCTGGTTCCATTGTTTCTGTTCCACTGATGTCATTGGCTTCCCAAGCTTCTTCCTAGACACTAAAAGTTCTTCTCTCAGTTGCTCAATGGTGTCCTTTATCTCCTTTTGCATCAGGATCCACTCAGGTTGGTATCCATTATCAATCAATATCCTGTTTAGGTTGTGAGTCATGGGATCAATATATGAACAACCAGAAAACTTTTTGAGGGGTTTTCCTTTTCCACTGAGGTTGTCGAAGTCTCCCTTTGCCATCGATTCCTGAATCAGGTCTTCCACCAAACGTTCTATGGCTTGAGTTATCTTCCCTTCTTTGCTGTGTCTTACATCTTTGATGGTTATACTATCAGCAAAGTACTGGCTTTGAAGCTTCTGCCTTTGATAGTCCATCACTTGCTCGGTTGCACGATCTGCCCTGAATTGTCTATACTGTTTCTCTCTCTGACTTGGGGTCCCAAAGCCAACACCTTCAAAACTTAAATAGTGTCGGTGTTGAGGTGTATTATATTTGAATTTTTCTTCTTCTTCTGTGTCTTCAGCTTTATTCTGTCTGGCATTTGCTTGTTCTGTCACGTGGGAAAGCACATTCCTATAGGCTTCCTCAATCCTTATAAATATTGCAGAATCAGCATTACTAGAGCCACTGTCTGGATGGTATTCCTTGGCAAGCTTATGGAAAGAATTCCTGACATCATCTGCAGAGCATCCTTCTTCCAGATTCAGTAGCCTGTAATATTCTTGGATTTTCCTTTTGGATCTATGAGTTGATATCATTCTGTTTCTAATGATGCTAGGATATGAAAGCATTTTCACTCCATTAGCAATCAGGGAAGCACTTATCAGACATGGTCTTAAGATTTGAGCCATCTTCACGTGCACCACATTCATCACCGAATCCAGAATTCTTACTAACAATGATCTGCAAAACAAGAGAGGTTGAACAAAGTTACTATCAGTCATTTTCTTACTTTCAATAACCAAGAAAAAGATAGGGTATGGGTTACATGTACAGTAAGAGTTGGCTCTTTGTATCAACTGTTGTCAAATGCTTTAAAGATTATTTATTTATTTATTTATTTATTTATTTATTTATTTAAGACCCATTTTATTTGTGTGTTTTGCCTGCATGTATGTATGTATGTGTACCAGGGTAACCAGAAGAGGGCACCAGACCCACCATATGGCTGCTCAGAACCAAACCCCCATCCTCTATAAGAGCAGTAAGTGTTCTTAACCCATGAGCCATCTCTTCAGCCCCCTTAAGATTTTTTTTTAATGTTGTGTATATGTCCATGTCTGCATATAGGTATGTTCATGTGAGTACAGGTGCCCTGGAAGGTCAGAGCCATTGGATTTCCCTTGAGTTGGAGTTACAGAAGGTTGTGAGCTGCCTGACCTGAGTGCTGGGAACTGAACTTGAGTCCTTTGCAAGAGCAGTAAGCGCTCTTAACTGTTGAGCCATTTCTCCAGCCCTGACACCAAAATTTTTCACTGTATTTTACTGATGTTAGCTAAAAAATGGACCTTTATGTTTGGTAATTATATATTGTGACACAATCTGGATTCTACTACTCACTAACCACAGAATTTCAGAGCTAGAAATTTCTTAGAACTCACTTAATCCAGTTGTCTCGTTTTATAAGAAAACAGGTCCAGAAGGTTAAGCAACTTATCAAGTCCCAAGGTAAAGACTACAGGGCTAGGGTTGGGGTGCTATAAGGACTTTTCTTAATTATATCCTTGGCAGATTACAAATTTCGTGAGTTAGTGTATTGTGGGTGTTCGTAAGAATCTTGTTACACATCAGAGAATACTAGAACTAGCTACCTAGTGTGATACTAGATTAAATAGAATCATGTGTCCAACAGGCTTTAAGCACCATACCTCCGTAGCAGCTGTTTGATAAGTGCTGGTGGATCTCTGTGAGTTCGAGGCCAGCCTGGTCTACATAGCGAGTTCCATGCCAGCTGGGCCTATGAGTCTCAGGAAACCACAATAAAGAATGAAAACCCCTGCTATATTAAAAATGCATGATCCTACAAATTAGACTCTATAGTATATGTCAAAATACCTATGTATTTATTATATATAAATATTAGGTAGATGATAGATGATGATAGATAGATAGATAGATGATAGATAGATAGAATGTGTGAACCTCAGAAAAGCCATAAGCTTCATTAGAGGAGACCATAAAGGCATAAAACCATCAGAGTGGCCAAACAGCTCTAAATTACAAAGTTCCCCAAGTGACCAAACAGCCATAGATTGGCAGTCTGGCTTTGCTCACCTCTTATCAGTTACTCCCAGGACTGAGAGGGACTGTTTGTGGAGCCCACCTGTCTCTTCTAGGGTCATAGATAACATGCCTGCCAAGTTCGAGGAAGGGCCCTCAATCATATCAAAGACACCAAACCCAGGCACTAATTCAACTCCCCACAAAGTGCAGCTGTGTCTCATAACCTTCGTATAACATGCCCCCGCCCCCCAGTTTCTTTGTTTAATTGTAGATGCTTGGTTCTTGTGGACAGCCTCTACCTCTCACTGTATCCTCTTTGAATAAAGGAAGATCTATTCCTTGCCTGTTGCAGGTCTGGCTCTGGTTTCTTGTCTCCTACTCCTCTATCCTTTCTTTTATTCTCCAAAATCTAACACACACACACACACACACACACACACACACACACATATATATATAAAATGAGAGATGAGAGGGGGAGAGAGAGGAGGGGGAGAGGGAGAGAGAGAGAGAGAGAGAGAGAGAGCGAGATGCATTAAGTTGGGCCAGGCAGCAGGAAGGGGAGGTGTGGAGGTGTGGATAGGGGAGGGGAATCTAAATATCATCAAATTATGGTGTATCAAAATCTCAGAAATTCAATTAAAAAAAAGCCCACGCATGGTCCAGTGGAGAAAGACACTGTGCATTATACACTGGCAATGGAAGTGAATTATTAGAGAATTCATGAAGGTGAATTACTAGAAACTCGATCGAAAGGAGTTTTAGGTGTCACGGGAGCCCCTATTACATAATAAGGGTCATTTTAGAGGTGGATGGGATGTTGGTGGTTGGATTTTAGAGTTGCAGGTTATGTTCACCTGGGGTCACAGGATAGCCCTCTACTCACCTAAACCAACATAGACCCGGGTATTTGCAGCTGGAGGCTCATACTGCGCCTCTGCGCATGCGCACCGGGCCGCCCAGCTCTCCCCGGGGCTCGTGGCTGGCCTGGCTCCTCTGCCGCTCTACACTGCTGGGCCCTTGGTCATACCTCACTGCTACAGGGGCCTCCTATACCTGGGAAACTGAGCTCTTTCTTACCCAAGAGAGCATAGGACAGACAACTCTGGATGCCCGTCGTACCCTGGGGTCACCGGTTCTGCCTCCACCCGGGCCGTGTGCAGAGGGTTCAGCCGACTGGAATTGTGGGACTTGTAGTTCTCAGGTTACTTGATTTGACCCGAGGAAGATTAGGCCTTTGCCCCAGCGGGGACACCTGCCTCAGTCTGTAGGCTTTTTAGGTCTGGGAGGTCTTTAATTCTGCACTTCCATCTATCTATCTATCTATCTATCTATCTATCTATCTATCTATCTATCTATCTATCTATCTATCTATCATCTATCATGTATTTATTTATTTATTTATTTTACCTGCACATCCTTTTTAAAAAGACATGCTCTCATGTAGCCCAGGCTGGCCTCAAACTATACAGTAGAGGATGACCTTGAGTTCCTGATCCTCCTGCCTCCACCTCCCAGTTACTGGGATTACAGTCCTGAGCTACCTGTTTATAGGGTGCTAAGATGAACCCAAAGGCTTGTGCACGTTAGGCAAGCTCTCTATGTACTCTACCAACTGTGCTATATCAACAAGTACTCTTTGAGCAACAACACACGTGGCCAGGTGTTGAAAGGGAGAGGGAAACAGAGGTCTTTGGGCTTCAGTTCAACCACGAACAGATTAAACATGCTCCTCTCCCTTCTTCTAAAGGGACCAATTTCTTGATTATTTTTAAAGAAAAAGGCAGAAATTTGGAGATTTTTCAGACCTGGGTTAAAAGTTCTCTTTATTCCATCTTCTGTGTACCTTAGGTAAGGCATCTCTCTATATGTAAAATCAGAGTACAAGCAAATAGTAAATGTGCATTTAGCATTTGCTATATGCCAGGCACCAGGATGAGTGCTCTGAGAAGCACAGGGTCAGGTTGCCCCAAATAGCATGTCAGAATGGAAGTAACTCTATAAGGTTTCTTTAGTTACAGAGCAAAGAAAGTCATAAATCAAGACAGCTATGAAATTCCTGGGTGAGGACCTGACAGGTAGGTGGCTTACAGCAAAATGGAGAAAACGCACCTGTAGGTTTTTAGGTGCTAGCTGATAACTTACCATTCTTAGATTTGGGATTGATAGAAGCCAGTGGTCTGCTATGAATACATTTTAAGGGTTGGAGATAGCTCAGCAGTTAAGAGCACTGGCTGCTATTGCAGAGGACCTAGGTTTGATTCCCACCACCTACATGATGGCTAACAATTGTCCATAACTCCAGGGGAGTCAGGGCCCTCTTCTGACCTTTATGGGCATTTCACAACACAGGTGAATTTACACACATGCAAGAGCAGTCAGTGCTCTTAACTGCTGAGCCATCTCTCCAGCTCCTTATTTTTATTGTTAATATTTTATTTATTTATTTTTTGAGACAGGGTCTCCCTGTAGCCCCAGCTGTCCTGGAACTCACTACGTAGACCAGGCTGGCCTTAAACTCACAGAGATCCGCCTGCTTCTGCCTCCTGAGTGCTGGGATTAAAGGCCGTGCACCACCATGTCCGGCTTATTTCTTATTTTTATTTTATTTATGAGTGTATTTCTTGCATGAATATGTGCAACCATGTTGTGCAATGCCCAAGTAGGTCAGAGAGGGCATCAAATTCCCCGGAACTGGGGTTATGGAAGGTTGTTAGCAGCCACATGTGTGCGGAGAATCCAGCCTGGGTCCTCTGCGAGAGCAGTCAGTGCTCTTAACAACTGAGCCATCTCTCCAGCCCCTTCATTATTTATTTTTTGAAATGAGGTCTGCTACTGAGTCCAGAGCCACCAATTGGCTAGACAGGCTGGCCAGCAAACTTGGGGAATCCACTTACTTCTGACCTCTCTATTCACCACCCCCAGCACTAAGGTAACAGATGGGTATGTACTACTATGACCTGCTTTTATGTGGGTGCTGGAGATATGGACTTCAGGTCTTCATGCTTACACAACAGAAACTTTACTGACTGAGCCATCTCCCCAGTCCTTACTTGGTTTTAAAATAAAAATTATTTAATTTTTTTGGTCTTTTTTTGAAACAGGGTCTCCCTGTAGCCCCAGCTGTCCTGGAACTCACTATGTAGACCAGGTTGTCCTGGAACTCACAAAGATGCGCCTGCCTCTGCCTCCCAAGTGCTGGGATTAAAGGCGTGCGCCACCGCCCGACCCAAATTATTTAATTTTTTATGTGTATGAATGTTTTGTCTGCATGGAAGTGCACCCAGGCATGCCATGCCAATGGAGGCCCGAAGAGGGCATCAAATACTTTGGAACTAGAGTTACAGATAGTTGCTAGCTGCCATGTGGGTGCTGGGAACTGAACCCAGGTTCTTTGGAAGAGCAGCTAGTGCTCTTTAACACTGAGCCATCTCTCCAGTCCCCTTACTTAGTTTTTGTGTTTATAGAGCTGGGTGTGGCGGCACACGCCTTTAGTCCCAGCACTCGGGAGGCACAGGCAGGCAGATCTCTATGAGTTTGAGGCCAGCCTGGTCTACATAGTGAGTTCCAGGACAGCTGCTGGGGCTACAGGGAGACCCTGTCTCAAAAGGACAAAAAAATTTTTTATTCTTTTTTGTCTTCATTTTTTAAAGAATTTAATGGAATATAATTTGATCATATTCAGAACCCATCACCCATCTTGACCCTCAATCTACTTCCACCACCCTCAATGTCATGTCTTCTATTATTATTATTTGCATTTTTGAAAGGCCTATTGTGTCTAAATTTTGTTCCCCAAATTTTCTTGGATGTTGGGTCCATTCCTTCAAGTCTAGTCACCCTACCAGGAATCACACCCTTAAAGAAAACTCATAATATTTTTTTTAAATTTTATAAATATAAAAAAAATTATTATTTTTACTTTATGTGTATGAGTGTGTTGCCTGCATGTATGTATGTCCACCCATGTTGTGCAGTGTCAGCTAAGATCAGAAGAGGGTGTTGGATTCCCTGGAACTAGAGTTACAAACAGTTGTTAAATGCCCTATGGATGCTGGGAACTGAATCCGGGTCCTCTGTAAGAGCAGCCAGTGCTCTTAACCACGGAGTCATCTCTCCAACCCCTTACTTCATTTTTGAGATAGTGTTTTATGTAGCCAAGGCTAGCCTTGAGCGGCTGATCCTCTGCCTCCACCTCCTAACTGCTAGATTCCAGGCATGCACAACCATGTCTGGCAAGGCATGAAATTTTAAACTCATGAATTGGCTTTTTTTTTTGCTTTAAAAAATTATTTTTTAATATTTTATTTATTTTTATTTTATGTGTATGCATGTATTGCCTGCATGTAGGTAAGTGCACCCATGTCGTGCAATGCTGGAGGAGGACAGAAGAGGCTGTCAGATCCCCTGGAGCTGGAGTTATGGACAGTTGTTAGCTGCCATGTGGGTGCTGGGATTTGACCAGTGTCTTCTGCAAGAACAGCCAGTGTTCTTAACCACTGAGCCATCTCTCCAGCACCCCACAAATTATTATTATTATTATTTTGTATAGATGAGTGTTTTGACTGCATGCATGTAAGTGCACCTGTCTGTGCAATGCCCGCAGAGACCAGAAAAGGGAGACAGATCCCCTGGAGCTGGAGTTATAGGAGCTTATGAGCCACCATCTACCTGTTGGGAACCAAACTGGAGCCCTCTGGGAGGACAGTCAGCACTTCTAACCTCTGAGCTACTTCTCCAGTCCCTGTTTTTTTTTTTTTCTTTTTCTTTAATTTTTTAAATCTTATGTGTATGAGTGTATGGCTTGCATATAGGTAGGTACACCTGTGTCATGCAGTGCCCCTGGAGGACAGAAGAGGGCATTGGATTCCCTGGAACTGGAGTTACAGATGGTTGTCAGCCGCCATGTGGGTGTTGGGAACTGAACCCGAGTCTTCTGCAAGAGCAGCCAGTGCTCCTAACTGATGATCCATCTCTCTAGCCCCTGTTTTTTTGCTTTTTTGAGACAGGGTGTCATTCTGTAGCTCTGGTGTTGCAGCCATGTTGAGTAGGGGTAAGAATGGGGTGTTTTTCTCAGCCAATTAAAAAATTAAAACGTAGTAAAAATCTTTGCTGACACTTTACTTAGAAAGAATGAAGAATCACACATCCATGCACACAACTCACACAGAGAAAGAAAGCTCTCCATATGTAGAGGGGACCCAGAAACTGAAAATTCAACAACCCCGACCCCCCCCCATGCTCCCAGGGAAGGCCTGGGTTTTAAGGGTGTTAGTGGTTTCCCCTTCCCCTGATTTTGGATTGGTCAACTTAAACAAAGAAGAGAAGGCTAATAGACATATGGCTTCAAATGAAAAAGTATCCAGGTCCAGCCTGGGTCTTATGTGAACTGGTTTAGACTAGTTGGTCAGAAAAGGAACCCTCCTGACTGGAAGGGGAACCCTCAGGCCTTCGTCTCAGGCCAAGGAGATGGAAGAAGATGGAAGTGTGCCTTCTTTATTCCTCCTCAGTGACCCTATTTACTTATTAGGGATTCAGCCCCTAACTCTGCCTGGCCTAGGACTCGCCTGTGACCTAGGCTGGTTTCAAGCTTAGAGCAATCATCTTGCCTCAGCCTCTCAGTGTGCTAGGATTGCAGGCATTCATCAGCATACCAGCTTTGAATTATTTCTGCAGTTTTCTGTTTTAGATCATAGTTGGCTGGGTGTAACTGAAACCATGGAAAGCAAAGCCATGAAGAGCAGAGATGCTGACCAAGACAAGAGAAATATGGGAAATTCAGTGGGAAAATGCCTCTGAGAAGCACCTCACGCTGCATTTCACTCTTCCTCCTCCTCTTCCTGCTGGCTTAGCCAGTCACTGACTGTTTCAGTAGGGCTCACTCATGGGATTTACGGCTCCTCACCCTCCCCTACCAGAGCAATCAATCTTTCATTTTTAGCACTGAAGTGACTTGTCACTTGAGCCTGAATGGCCTGCATTGGATTGGCACTGCCCACAGCACTTTCTGTTCCTTGAAATTATGAATAATGTATGTACCGCCCTCTAATTGCAGACCGCTAGTGGGAAAAACAGATGCACATTCAGCCACTGAGGAATCAACACTTGAGTCTTCCAACCCCCACCACATTCATGGTGCACTGCCTTCCAG